ACACACACACACACACACACACTCACACACACACACACACACATAACAATCACTCAGTTCTCACATCCATATCCTCTTATCTGTTTGAAATGTCATCTGCGCACCTCGTGTTACGAGAGGTCAGCTAAACCAGCCTGCACTGTGTACGCATAATATTCTTGACATCTTTATTGTGTAGGCCCTATTGGTGATGTTTCATGGAATATGGAAATCTTACAGTACAGTGCTGGGTAGTAAGTCTCTGTGTAATCTGGATTACATAATCAGATTTCAATTGAGTACTCGATTACATTTTAAAATGCTCATAATCAGATTACTTTTTTATGGATTACGTGATTACATATTCATAAAGTGCCAGTAAAATATTCATAATTTATTGATTCTCCAAGTTTCCATTCCAAAAATCCTACTTTGCCATACATTTAGCTTTGGCTATAGACACACTATAGAATGGCCGTGTACATGTAAATTTACATTTAGCTATTTAGTCATTTAGCAGATGCTTTTATCCAAAGCGACCTACAAATGAGGACAATAGAAGCAATCGAAACCAACAAAAGAGCAATGATACACAAGTGCTATGACAAGTCTCGGTTAGCCTAACGCAGTACACGTAGCAAGGTGTTTTTTAATATAATAATTAAAAAGAAAACAAATAGATCGAATAGAAAAAGAATGGGAAACGCTTGTAAATGTCATGTAAATAATTTTGTAACCCTACATTTGGGGGGAAAAAGAGAAATGATAGGGAAAAACTAATATAAAAAGTAGTCAGAGTACATAACCTAAAATGAATAACCTAGAGATTACATTGCTGACCACAATTTTCCTCATGTAATCTGTATTTCAGTAACAAACTACAAATTGTAAGTAATCTATCCAGCACTGCCAGTGAATTACCTCAGATTGGATCTTGGTTTATGTGTTTCACATGACTTCACACAGGATCAGTTATTATATTATTAATATTCCCATGTAACACATTTGCATGAAAGTAAACAAGTCTTGGGTTTCTGTTAATTAGAAAAATGAATCTGTGGTCTAAGTGTACCATATATGTTTCAATAACTTTTTAAAACTTGTATTTAATGTGTGAAATGTTTGTTCC